CTCCAGTCTGGGCGACTGAGTGAGACTCCAACTCAAAAAAAATAAAAAATAAAAAATAAATGTGTACTAATTACATGTTTTTACTCTTACATGTTTAAACTCAGGTCACCTTCAAAATATTCTCTTCATTTGATGCAATATACCTATTGAGATGCTTTTTCAATGCTCAAAACCGTTTTTGAACTCATCAAATCTGATGGCTTTTAATGTTTCTGCCATTTTTTTGTTTCACCTCTTCCACATCAGCAAAACATTTCCCTTTGAGGAATTTTTTTTATCCAGGGAAACAAAGTTGCTCAGGGTGCATAGGGAGGTTGAGGCACAGGGCTCATGCTGTTTTTTGGTCAAAAACTGCTAAACACTCAGTGTGGGGTGGGCAGGTACACTCATAAATCACTCATCATGAAATAGACATTGAAAGAATCTCCAAAAAAAAAAAAAATTCACTGAAGCTAAATACAGCCTCTTACATCAGTGCTAGCTGGTACACTGATGCTGATGGGTTCCTAAATCACTTGGCTAGCTAGGGAAGCCTGTACTACAAGGTACCCACCCTCCAAAAAATAGTTCCGGTTCTTTTGGGGTTCCCCTTCATACATTCTAAAGTATATTTCATCTTTCAAATATCTGTTTATCAAGACTATTTGTAGCAAATAACAGACCTTCAAATATTTTGAATTTGACAGATAAAGTTATTTTTCAAAGAATGTATGCACACACAAAAAGCAGAGTGTAAGCTATCCCATTATGTGATGTGACCAAAATCTCTGCTACTGAATAAGATTCTAAGCTAGTATTAAAGATCATCAAATAGAATCTTTTACTTTGCCTTTTTTTGTCCCCAACAATAATTTAAAAAAGGACTAAGACAAATGAGGGCAATTTTTCACATGCTAGACATCACATCGATATATTCATAAATAACAAGTTATCTTTGAAAGCGTATACATCTCGAAATTTTCCCATTTTAAAACATTATCTTTTATAATGTAATAAAAATCAATATGGCATGAATAACATACATCTTCATTTATCTGTCAAAACTTGGCACTTAGGATCAGGCAAATTCAAAAAAACTTGTCAACTTTATCACCTACCTTTAGCAAAGCTTGAAAATAATGCATAATAATGCTCAGATACCAAGAATACCGTGTCAGGCTGCAGCTGGGGTCCTGGGCCTGTAACCCATAACAACAACAAATCATGGTGTTATAGAAATAAACATTCAGGATCTGAGGAAAAGAATTAGAAGTTTAACCTAGAAACTTTTTGTAGAATGGCAAGACTACAATTTATTTTATTCCTCACTGACTCGGTTTTAGCACTTTTACACAACTAACAGGGAATGCAAAACACCTCATTTCCCGTGCTGACATAAAAGCACCTCTCAAATTATTAAATCAGTGTGAATTATAAAAATTCTTAAGAGGCTTTAAGAGCACCTGTATAATTCTGTTAATTCACTAAGAAAACTGCAGAAATACGAAAACCCATAAAGATTCTTTGTGTTGTCAAAAATATTGTTCTTTTCATTCTTTCTTTCCTTTTTTTTTTTAATTCAGTGGCATTACAACAGCTATTTCAAAGTTTATGGCCAATTCCCATAACAATGAAAAACAAACTTTGTGCGAGGGGATTATTAGCAAGGTTCGAATTAGCAGGGCCATCGATGGTCAGCAAGTTGAAAAGACATCCTTTTCTGCTAGTTTCTCTGTTTCTCAAACACACTTTTCTTGTCTGCGCTTCCTCTCCCGCGCGGGGACCCCAGCTCTGTACCGACCGGCTCCCGGAAGAATCACCCCGAAAGCACCCTCGGGGCGACAGCGTGACTGTGGGCGGGGCCGCAAAGCGGGCGCTTGCCACGGGTCAGACACCCGCCGGACCAGCGCCTTCTCCCTCCCGCTCCCCCTCGACTCCTCCGCAAGGCCCCTCAGTCCCCTCCTCACGTTCCCCCTCGCTTCACCCCTCGAGTTCTCCCCTTAAATTCTCCCCTCACGTTCACCCTTCCTGTTCCTCCTTCAAGTTCGCCCCTCGCGTTCCTCCAGTCCATCCCTCACGTTCTCCCCTCGAGTCCGTCCCTCGCGCTCCCTCCACAAGTTTCCCTCTCACGTTCCGCCCTCGAGTTCTCCTCTCAAGTTAGCTCCTTCTGTCCCACCTTCACATTCACCCCTCCTGCTCCCTCAAGGTCCCCCCTCACGTTCCGCCCTGGAGTTCTTAGCTCGCTTTCCCCTCCCTCCCTTCCCCACCCTCGTCCTCCGGGTCGGCCTAGGGCGGGCGGGAGCAGGGGCCCTCGCGTTCTGGGAGCCCAGGGCGCGCCCCA